GCCATTGGGTGTGCCAAGTAGTTGGAAATAAAAAAAAAAAAAAAATGGTCATGAGTTAATGATTGTTACAGTTAGGTAATGAATGCATGGGAGTACATTCAATATTTTCTCTACTTTTGTGTTTGAAATTTTGTATAGTAATATATTCAATGACAATTAATATAACAATATTTTCTATAATAAATAAAAGCATCCTTCTAATATATCTTCAAGCCTAGCTCAAAAGGTATCTTCACTAGCCCTGGCCGGTTTGGCTCAGTGGTAGGGCATCGACCCATGGACCAAAGAGTCACAGGTTTGATTTCAATCAATGGCATGTACCTCGTCACCATTTGGTCCCCAGCCCTGGTCGGGGTTGTGTAAGAGGCAACCAGTCCATGTGTCACATTGATGTTTCTCTCTCTCTACCACTCTATCTGAAGATAAACAGATTTTTTTTTTAAAAAAAGGCATCTTCACTAATGAATGAGCAACGACAATAAATCCACGTGCATGCTGATGACTACACAAGCAAGCACTCAACATTACATTACATGTTGTCTATTTCATGATCATCTGATCTGTGTCAATGACACTTGTCTTACAATTTCAACATATATTTCATATTATTCAACCTTTATAGTGTGCTTACACACAATAATTAAATATTTTAATCTTTTTTTTTAAGCTCACCGGGGACATTTTTCCATTTTTTTGTTCAGATAGAGTGGGAGGGAGAGAGAGGAAGAGAGAGAGAGAGAGAGAGAGAGAGAGAGAGAAACATCGACGTGAAAGGGACACGTCGAGTGGTTGCCACCCGCACAACCCAACCAGTGCCGGGGACAAACTGCAACGGAGGTACGTGCCCTTAGCGGAAACCGAACCCGGGTCTCTCTGGGCCGCAGGCTGATGCTCCAACCGTTGAGCCAAACCTGCCAGGGCAAATATTTTAATCTTTTTATTATCAAGACAGAGGCATATTTTCTTTGAAACCTTGTTTATTAATTTTAATTTTTATTATGAAAAATTTTAAGAATATACAAAAACAGAGAAAATTATGAAGAACTCCCCTATTACTAATCACCCAGATTCAATAATTATCAATGTTTTGAAATACTTGTCATGTTCGTTTTTAGGGGGTGGGAGTGTGTTAATAAAAATTTTATACTGTTTTTATTTCATCCTTAAGCTCTAAAACATCAACATTACCTTACATTGACCTGAATGCTATTATCACATCTAAACAAATGAACAATAATTCCTTGGTGTCCTCTAAATTCAATCCATATTCAAATTTTCCAGGTCTCCCAAAAATATCTTTTTATAGCTAGTTTGTTATAATCCAATTTATATAAGATCTCTACATAGTATTTAGCTATTGTGTCTCTCTAGTCTTTTTAATTTTAAAAATTATTTATTTTTAAATTAAATTTATTGGGGTGACATTGGTTAATAAGATCATATATGTTTCAAGTGTACATTTCTATGATGTATCATCTGTATATAGTATTCTGTGCCCACCACCCAAAGTCAAATCTTCTTCCATCATCATATACATAGTATAAATGTACCACATCTTCTTTATTCAATCATCTATCAAAGGACATGTTAGTTGTCTTCATGCCTTGGCCACTGTGAATAATACTGCAATGGACATAGGGTATATATATCTTTGTGAATAGATTTTTTGCATTTTTTGGGTAGCTACCTAGAAGAGGGGTTGCTGAGTCATATGGTAACTCTAATTCTTAATTTTTTGAGGATCTGCCATACTGTTTTCCACAGTGGCTGTACCAGTTTACATTTCCATCAGCAGTGATGAGGGTTTTTGTTTTTTTTTCTCCACAACCTCTCCAATACTTGTTATTACCTGTCTTGTTGACAATAGCTGTTCTAACAGGCATGAGGTGATATCTCATTGCAGTTTTTATTTGCATTTCCCTAATAGCTAGTGAAGTTGAGCATCTTTTCATATGTCTGTTAGCCATTTGTATGCCTTCTTGGGAGAGGTGTTTGTTCGGGTCCTCTGCCCATTTTTAAATTGGATTGCTTGTTTGTTTGGTATTGAGTTGTATGAGTTCTTTATAAATTTTGGATATTAACCCCTTGTTGGAGCTCTTGTTTGCAAATATCTCCCATTCAGTTGATTGCCTTTTTGTCTTGTTGATGGTTTCTTTTGCTGTGCAGAAGCTTTTTAGTTTGATATAGTCACATTCATTTATTTTTGCCCCTACTTCTCTTGTCTTTGGAGTCAAATTCATAAAATGTTCTCTAAGACCAAGGTCCATAAGTTTAGTACCTATGTTTTCTTCTTTGAATTTTATTGTAAAACCTTTACTGACCATTCATTTCATTATTTGCACTCCACCTGAACTCTGAACATATAACAGGGAACCCATAACACACTCTTGTGCTTATTCATTTAACTATATTTAAATGACATCAATGAAACCTATTCAGTAAATAGAGCAGTTTTTTTTTTTTTAGTTTCTTTTTTTCTTTATTGATTTTAGAGAGAGAGGAAGGAAGGAAGAGGGAGAGAGAGATAGGAACATCGATGAGAGAGAACATTGACTGGCTGCCTCCTGCATGCCCCCATTGGGGATTTGGCCCACAACCTGGGCATGTGCCCTGACCTGAAATCAAACTTGCAACCTCTTGGAGTATGGGTCAATGCTCAACCACTGAGCTACACCAGCTGGGCAATAGTAGCTGTAGTTATTGTTATTATAATCACAGTCCTTTCCCTCTATTACACTACAAGACCAGTAATCATATTTTAGTTGTTTTTGCCTGTCTCAATATCTGGTACATTTCAACTGCTCAATAAATATCTGTTTTATGAATGTGTGAATAAATAAAACTTAGGATTACTCCATTCATAGACCCATATTAAGTTCAGTAAAAACATTAATAAGACTGAGGAATATAAACTAATTCATGCCTTACAATTTACTCAGTGCTCCATGGCTCATTTGATCAGAAACATAACATGTTCCTAGATTTAGTGTCCATTTAACATAGTCACTTTTAGTCCAAAAGGCAAAGTCAAATACCCTGTTTTATTGTTGGCAAGCAACAATCATCCTCAACAATCATCCTTTACTTTCTTTCTATCTTGAGCCTCTCCCAACTGCAAACACATATTGAGGGGAGAGGTGAGTCAGGAACAGGACATAGAATGGAGGGAGAGCCTGGTCGATTTTGCTCAGTGGTTAGAGCATCAGTTTGTGGACCGAAGAGTTGCAGGTTCGATTCCTGGTCAAGGGCACGTACCTAGATTGCAGGTTCAATGCCCAACCGATCGATTTGTCTCTCTTGCATCAATGTTTCTTTTTCTCTCTAAAAATCAATGGAAAAATATCCTCAGGTGAGGATTAACAACAACAACAAAAAGAAAGAATGGAGCGAGGCTAAGAGATTAGGTCAGCAATAGAGCCTCAGAATCAGTGAATGGTTATTTCACATAATATTTGCTAATGTTTCTTAAAAGTTGAAACCATTTCATGACTTATTTTTTAGGCTGTGTCAAAATATTCCTGACATCAAAATTACTTGATCTAAATATGTACCCATTTGATCTCCACAATAACATTGTGAAGTAAACAGAGCCTGCCATGTCTGTTTTAAAGAAGAGGATATAGGAAATTTACTCTTAACTCAACTGGGACTTTAAATTGTGATTTAAAAATTTTAAATGCAGTATACTGAGATAATAATGCTGTGTTATCCCTGCCAAGAAACAACTATTTGTTTTAAAATAATTGCTAGATTAAAAGTACTCTTTAGATTCGTAAATCAAGTATTTGAGTGCCTTCCAAACTCAAAAACCTCCAGAAGGAGGGAAATTTGTTTGTCATCTTGTTTGTTTGTTTGTTTTTTAGGTACTTGAATGACTAACTTGCTCCTTGAAAAGCAGGGGTGCAGAAATCAAAGGCCTGATTGTGCTGAATCCTTCTCTTCTGTTATTATTCAGACTGGTTCCCAGCATGCTGCAGTCCAAAGGAAAGGGTCCAAGCTCTGTTTAAAAATCAGAGACTAAAGAGCTTACTCAGCACCCTGCTCACATTAGTGTTGCTTGCTTTCATCTTTAAAAATCTTTTATTATACAGTAATCTTAGGTTTCTGGGAATATTCTCAGAATATAGGAAGCACCTCCTTGACCTATTTATGATGAAAAATGCTTTTCATCACTATCCCCTCTCTTCAAGAACACTGGAACAACCAGGTATTTAGGTATAATTGAATCCTTGGGAAGAATTTTACAGAAGTGCAGCTGTTTGTTGTTGTTTACTTTGGGGGGGGGGGCAGCTGTTCCCCTTGATGAGAATGGGAAATTTTAAAATAAAACTGCCTCTTGCTGCTCACCTACCCAGGACTGATGAGGACATTCATTCCTAGGGAACAGGCAATGTTTTTGTTTTAGTTCTGTTTCAGCATCTAGGAGTGAGAATGTGTTGCAGCAATCTATTTGAAAGAATGTTTCATAAATTTCAGAATTAAAAAACAAAAACAAACTGATGAACAAAATAGATTCGGAGACATAGTAGTAGGGTACAGACTGACAATCCTCGGAAAGGGGTTGGGGGGAGGGGAGGGAAGAGATAAAATACAGAATTTATATGCAGGTATGCATAACCATGGATATGGACAACAATGCTGGGGACGGGGACGGGGGCGGGACCTGGAGGAGGGGGTCAATGGGGGTGGGGGGGAGAAACATTTGTAACAAAAATTGATTAATAAAATAAATAAATAAAACTCCATAGAGCTGTGACACAAGAGCACCAAGGGACGCTTGATATGTCAACCCAATCACAAAAGGCAGGACTTTTCTAAGGATTTTAACTACCGTGTAACACAAGGTGGAATAGAAATAAGGGATTCTGGAGCAGATATCTCAGAATAATCCCAAAGCAGAACCCTTCACACGGGTTATCTACTTTCCCTTGACAGGTGCACCGACAGAGAAGGCATTTGGTCCTTGAGGCAGTGTTTACTTGGGGAATTACGACAATGGTGTCCAAGCTTACGGCAATTCAGGTGACCCTGAGCGCAGGAGCAGCCCTAGGACTGCGGCACAGAAAATACGCTAGCCGATCTGTCACCCTTCCCCCCTTCCTTTCCCAGGGGATTGGAGTAGCATTGGAGTCGCTGACGCCATCCTTTCCCGCCTCTGGCTTGCAGGGAGCATGCGCTTCCTTGCTCACTTGGTCTCAAGGAGAGAGTAAGGCTACGCCCTAGCCGATCCGCGGCCGGCTCCGCGTCACAGGAACTTCAGCACCCACGGGGCGGACAGCGCTCTCCTCCACCTGAGGACCTGACTCTCCAGCGCCCACAGCCTTTACTCGGGAGTCGCGTGGAGCTTCACCGGCTGCTGGGTTCCCACCACCGTTCCACCCCGCACCCGCCCTCCCAGCTCTTCCTGTTTTTACTCCTCTTTTTCATTCATAACAAAAGCTACAGCTCCGGAAGCCGGCGCCAGGCTGTTTCTGAAGCCAAGAGTGGAAGAATGGGGTTTCTTTGGACCGGCACTTGGATTCTGGTTTTGGTAGTCCACAGCAGCCCAATTCAGGCTTTCCCCAAACCGGAAAGCAGCCAAGGTACGTGGACACTTTTCTTCCCACCTCCCTTTTCTTCGCCGCGAAAAGGTAAAGCTTGGCATAATACATGAGCTGCAAATCACCTTGCCTCATTTTCTGATTAGCTCATATCCGTGCATATTGACAGAGAAATCAGTTCGAATTTAGAGTCAGATCCTCCCTCACTTTTTATATAATAAAGCAACAACCTGGGTTGTTTTCAAAGGTTTTATTTTGAAATTGGGAGGGGGTGGCTTTTCTGCCTAATACAGTGGCTTGGGTTTTTTGTTCTGTTTTTTTCTAGTTGTTTTACAATCTTTCTCAGATACTCTATTAATAACAGGTGCGATAAAAGAGCTTTTAATGTGCTAATAAAACCAATCCAAATTATGCTTTATCTAGTTGAAAACAGCTGGTAAGCCAAGTGTTAGAACTATATGTTAGTTTCTGTTCAGGAAAAAAAAAAGTGTAATTCTATTAGCTCAAGAAACACAGCAAGATAATAAGCAAGGCAACACGATGGTCATTGTTATTGCATAATCTTGATAATCTTTGTTAATATGTATTTTTATTTCATGGTTATACAAAATATGTCTTCTAATATTTGGTTTTTCTTTATGGAGATTTTATTTCATGAGACATATTGTGTCTTTCCAATACACAGTTAAATTTATATTTTTATGTTTATTCTAGACAAACCTATACATAATAAAGAATTAAGTGCAGAAAGACCTCTGAATGAACAGGTAGGTCAAAAATAAAGTTATAAATGCTACTTCAATTTATTTTAGTTATTATAATTTAATGTAATTATGTTGTGGCATTTTAGCTATTCTGAATTCACAAACTTCAGGGGATTGATAATAAATTGACAGAAACTAGGATGGGAAATATAATTTTGGTAATATCTGTATAATACATAAAGCTGAATGTATAATAACACTGTGAGGACCACATCACTTCCACTCTATTGTAAGAATGCTTAATTTATCAGAGATTTACTTTTCACCAATATTGTAGGAGAAGGGAATTAATGCTTATAAACCGTCTATCCTTTATTTTATCTCAATGCTTATGACAATGCTTTGAAATAGAAATTATTAACTACATTTTACAAACAAGAAAACAAAATCCTATGAAGATTAAATCATTTAGCTGTCATATTTGGTCAGTGGTGGAGCAATGATTTAAAACCAGATCTATATCCTTTCACAGATTGCTGAAGCAGAAGCAGACAAGATTAAAAACACATACCCTCCAGGTAAAAAGAAACTATATTAGTGTTAATTTAAGTGACAGTGGGTTATGAAAATCTTAATTAAAATGGGTATTTTGGGTTTGGGGGCTTTTCTTTCAGAAAACAAGCCAGGTGAAAGCAATTATTCCTTTGTTGATAACTTGAATCTGCTAAAGGCAATAACAGAAAAGGAAAAAATTGAGAAAGAAAGACAATCCGTAAGAAGCTCCCCATATGATAATAAATTGAACTTGGAAGATGTTGATTCAACCAAGAATCGTAGACTAGTTGATGATTATGATTCTACTAAGAGTGGACTGGATCATAAATTTCAAGGTAAATGAGGAAAAAAATATTTGCTATATATTTTCTCTAATTTAGAGTTTCTCATTATGGGTTAGGAGAAAGCCATATATATATATATATACTCTCAAAATCTTCTATTAGTCAGGTCCAAAATTGAGATAAAGCCCAAATTTACTGACAATATACAACGTGCCAGTTCCACAGAAACCCAAATTTTATTTTTTCTTTAAAGGTCCCTATACTGATACTTTGAAAAAAATTTAAACCTACTATCTATATTCTATGCTATTTAATATTTTAACTATTAGTATCAACAAATATCATAATTCTCAAATGATTAAATCAACAAAATACTCTCTTCCCAAAGGTGAAATACCCATTACTCCCTTTTCCGGGTACTCTTTCTAGCTATAGCCTTTCTCCCTAGGTCATTCTAACCTTTTCATGGCTTTAGTTACCATCTATATCCTGATGTCACATATCACTAAGCCTAGACTTTTCTGAGCTATTGATACATACATACATACATACATATCTATATGTATATAGACATGGATATATATGTATATGTATTTAATATCTTACCTTAGCAGTCTCAGAAGCACCTCAAACTTAGCATGGCCAAGATTAATCTCATAATATCTGTACACCTTACAACCTAGCCCTCTTAGAGTGTTCTTTCTCTAAAAAAGGCACTATTCCTCGTGCAGTTTTTCAAGACAGTAATCTAGGAATCAAACTACTTCACTTTTCCTTCATCTCTCAAGTTGTAATCCACCAATCTTATCAATTTCACCTCTTCTATCTGTCAATTTTCCCCTCTATTTCTAATTACCAATCTCTAATCATGTCTCCCTTCAACTCAGCAAAATCCTCTAATGGATCTTCCAACACCCACTTTGCCCCCTCTCCAACTCATTCTTTATGTAGCAGCCAGAGTGATCTTTTCAACACACAAATGTGTAATTCTTTTGCATAAGACCCATTAATAGATTCCCATTTCTCTTGGGATAAAAACCAGAATCCTTAACATGGTTTCTACAGTCCTGCATGAACTAGTTTCTATTTTTCTAGGTTCATCTAGCACACATGATCTGATAAAAACCTTATTCCTTTCCTTCATGTCACTTAATGCAATTTGTAATTTTACATTCTTAAGTGTGCCTACTTATGATTTATCTCTTTCTCCTAAACTAAACTGAAAACTTCAGGAGAACAGAGACAGTGTAGCCTCAGTGTCTGGATGGTCATGAATACATTGCATGAATTGATAAATGAATAAATAAACGTATAAAAGAATACATGAGAGAATAAATGAACTATTTACCTAGGCATTGACGAAGAGAGTGTGTTTTCCATCCTGAATACCAGTACTTAGGAGTGACCACAGATTTTCTTATATGTCCTTGCTCTGTTCCACGGCCACAAGAGATTATGCTGATTATCTCTGCCAGAAAACAACTGCCAATTACATTTTACTTTTATAGAATATCACAGCCCAAGAAGATTTCAGAAGTGTGTTGTGCATGTAATAGGGTGGGACAGATGGTTTATATTTTAACACAATTTATGTTACATACTACTCAGGAAATTTTTTTTTTTTTTTTTTTGGTATGTGCCCCTAGCTGGAACTGAACCAGGGACTCTCTGGTCCGCAGGCCAATGCTCCAACCACTGAGCCAAACCGGCCAGGGCAGGAAATTTTTTTTCTTGAATTTTGTTTTAACCTAAAATATTTTGACTAGAAATAGACACTGGGCATAGCTTCATACAAAAAAGATTCAACTACTTTGAACTGACCATTTGATTTAATAAAATTAAAAAATAGCCTAATATTTATTTGACTGAATTTTTTGGTCAAACTGATTGTACATTCAGGCAGGGGCACAGATCGGTTTGTGATCAGATCACTAACTTGAGCAACTTACTTTTAAATTATTCAACATTTTATTACCATCCCTGATGGGTTCTCAACTACCAAGTGTTAGTCCTGATGGCTCTAGTTTCCCTTAGGAGTGATTTTAAATCCACTGGAGATTACTGATTTGTGAGTGAATTGCTGGTCTTCTCTCACACTCTGGAAATCCTGGAAACAGAACATTTGATACCACCTAGGTAACTAGAACTTAGGCATACAGACTTACATCCCCAGAAAGAAAGGGGGGCAGGGGGTGAGGGAACCTAACTTTTGCAGGGAGCTTTCAAATCTTTAGGAAACCTCCAAATGAGCTTGTGATATAGGACCCATCAATTCTTTTCAGTGAGTTCTGCAGCATGTGTGATTCGGGATTTTTTCTAAGTTTCTTTTATGAAGTAGTGCTTTCAGGTTCCTATGTGCATTCACCAAACAAATGCTCATTGAGCAATTACCATGCATCAGTCTATGAACTAGACCAGCCATGTTCAACTTTCTTCATCTCATTGCACACATAAACTAATTACAAAAATTCTGTAGCACACCAAAAAACAATATATTACATTTTTTGCTGATCTGACTCCAAAAAAAGGTATAATTTTGATTCATTCACACCGGATGGCTATTGTTGTGTTGGCTGTTGTCATTTTTTTTTTATAATCTAAGTGAAAAGAGGTCAGTGCTCCTGACTAAATAGTGAGGTATTGCATGTTTTAAAATTTTTTGCAGCACACTGGTTGAAAATCACTGAACTAAACAATAAGCTCTATGTAGTTAGGGACCATGCCTAAACTCTTCGTCACTCTTATTTCCAGTTCCGTCTCATGTTAAGATTTTCATAAAAACATATTGAGCATGCCCTGGCCAGTTTGGCTCAGCAGTTAGAGCATTGGCCCACAGACCAGAGAGTCCCAGGTTCGATTCCCACTAAGGGCACATACCTCGGTTGCAGTTTGTCCCTGGCCCCGGTTGGGGTCATGTGAGTGGCAACCAGTCAAAGTGTCTCTCTTACATCAATGTTTCTTTTTTTTTTTTTTATCCTCACCCGAGGATATTTTTCCATTTTTTGTACAGATAGAGTGGGAGGGAGAGAGAGGAAGGAGAGAGAGAGAGAAACATCGACGTGAAGGGACACATCGAGTGGCTGCCACCCGCACGACCAACCAGGGCCGGGGACAAACTGCAACCGAAGTACGTGCCCTTAGCGGGAACTGAACCCGGGTCTCTCCGGACCACAGGCCGACACTCTAACCACTGAGCCAAACTGGCCAGGGCACATCAATGTTTCTTTCTCTCTCTTCTTCCTTCTCTCCCTCCTGCTCTATCTGAAGATAAATGCAAAAATGTTCTCAGGTGAGGATAAAAAAAACATATTGAGTAAATGAATGTCAAATGCCACATTAGATGCTGAAGATTCAAAATGTAACTTAGCAAAACCTAATTAGGCAGAACATGGCCCTTTTACATTCACTTAGAATGTTATAACTGCTTTTTAAAAAGTTATAAATGTTGAACTCATGTTTGGCTTCCCCTTGATAGTCTGTACAGGATGACATACCCCTTCATGAGTGTTAGAGAGGTCATTCTGAGTAATTCTGTCCATTTTATTCATTTTTATTTATTTTTAAAATATGTTTTTATTGATTTTTTGGAGAGAGAAATAGAAACATTGATGTGAGGGAGAAACATCGATCAGCTGCCTCCTGCATGTTCCCCACTGGGGATCAAGCCTGCAACCTAGACATGTGCCCTGACCAGGAACCAAACCAGGAATTCAGTTCATGGGACAACGCTCAGTCCACTGAGCCACGCAGGCTGGGCTAATTCTGTCCATTTTAGAGGCACCAGGGGAAGTTAGGAGAAGGTAAAAATCAAGGCCCAAGTGCTCAATTATTGGCCCTATCTAGCAAAGCTCTGCTAAGGGAGGCCTGAGCTCCTGGTCAAAGACAGTACAACAGTGCAGCAGAGGAAAGAGGCTATTTCTTGAGTGTTACTAATGTTCTCCCTGTTGTGAAATAAATGAACTGAAAAGCAGTTATCTCAGTTATTTATTTTCTTTCCCACTTATAACCTGGGATCTGGAAAAGGAAGAGTATTGATAGTTCCAGCCAGCAACTAATAGTCTTTCTTTTTCAGATCCTGAGGATAGTGGGATGGGAAATCAATTATTCCACCTCTACATAGACCCAGGCAGTTTCTGCCCCACCTATTCCCAAGAGTCTGACCTTCAACTCACAAATGGAAAAAAAAAAAAAAAAATCAGACCTAACTGATAATGGACCTCTGCTCCTGAACAACATACAAAAACAGATGATGAACTCAATTTTCAGTCAGCCAGGAAGGGAACTGATTTTATGGAATTTTTGTGTTCATTAGTCACTCTGGTTAATAGGGCTCAAAGGGATCAGAGTTCGTGGGTTGGTCAGCAGCTCAGCATCCCCAATATACTGCCAGAAAACTTTCAGTTCTCCAGGCAAAATAACTACTCATTTTCCTCAGTGTCTTTCCAAACGAGAAAATAGTCTGCCTGAGGCTGCATATCCTTCCATCTCCATAGAATCTGGAAAAAAGACCATGGACAAAATTTCTTGCTTGAATCCCCGGAAGCCATGGAAGAAAAGGGCAGAATCAAAATAGAAATACTAGCTTCTTCCTCTTTAAGTGAATATGGTCAGAATTATTTGGGCAGAATTTAGCTAGGGATTCAATGTTTATTTGCTCTAGAAGATAATCACAGTTCTTTTATTTCAGGTACAAATCCACTGTCTGTTATAATAGTACATTAACTTTCACATAATACTTTGCAACTTATTATTATTTTTTTAATCCTCACTGGAGGACATTTTTCCATTTTTTGTTCAGATGGAGTGGGAGGGAGAGAGAGAGAGAAACATCGACATGAAAGGGACACATTGAGTGGCTGCCACCCGCATGACCCAACCAGGGCTGGGGACAAACTGCAACCAAGATATGCGCCCCTAGTGGCAATTGAACCCGGGTCTCTCTGGACCACAGGCCGAGGCTTTAACCTCAGCCAAACAGGCCAGGGCGCAACTTATTTCATCTCATCCTCACAATCCCTTGAAATGGATACTTTTACTACATTTCTCTACAGCAATCCAAGGATATATAAATAAGATGTATCACTGGAGCTAAAATGCTGATCTTTCCAATCTGCCTAGAGGTGAAAAGGGTATTTAAGTGCCTTGTAAACATGCGTGTATGAATAGACTGCTCCATGTGATAGGGGTCGGAAAAGATCAGTTGACTCCTGGGAGTTCTTCGTGGACGAGGTGCAATGCTTCCTTGTCACCAGTCCTACCACATGCTGCTATAAGTATTCCCCGGAAAGCCCAGGAAATATCTGCAGATATTTACATAGATTTACAAACTACTTTGTGCAAATCTGTTGTCACATTTTTAAAGTTTAAATTCCAGGCACATAAAATAAGTTTCCTATTTTCTGGAGAAACAGGCTTGTCACATTAAGCTGCTGTAATATAAAGGCACTCTGGCACATGATCACTTAGAAGCAAACATTTCTTCCAGGTAAGTCATAAAATCTTCAGTACACACTCTCTGATTCTAGGTGTGAGGCAGGTTTCCTCACCCTCTGCCCAGGAATTTACCTGCAAATAGAGTACATGTGTGGATACTACTAATCTACTCCTTGCATGGAAATGGAGTATCATATAATATATAGAAGGGCACTTTAAATAATATGGCATACTAGATAAATATGGCATACTATCAAAACAAAAAAGTGTAATATTGTTTATATTATTAGTGGTAATAAAAAATAGAGAGGACTTTTGTGTTGACTTCAGATTTTCCTGCCTCTTATAATTACATAAGAGGCTTTCAGAATTTCCATTGTCATCTAAGTTCTTTACTTAAAGTCAAATTTTATTTCAAACCAAGAGTTTATGGGGACCAAGTACCACTATAAATATACTCCAAAGATATTTAAGTATACAAGAGCAAGATATCGATTAGAAAGCTAATATGATCCAAGAAATAGACCTATGTTTTTACCATGATGTGAATTATGATTACTCTGTCTAGATGATCCAGATGGCCTTCATCAGCTGGATGGAACTCCTTTAACCGCTGAAGACATTGTCCAGAAAATTGCTACCAGGATTTATGAGGAAAATGACCGAGGAGTATTTGACAAGATCGTTTCTAAACTTCTGAATCTTGGCCTAGTGAGTCATATACATGAGAATAAACCAAATTCTTAGTACAGAATATGCTAAGAAGCCAAGCCATTTGATTTAAGTAGCCAAATGTTTATAAGGCATCTACTTTATACTAGGCACCATAGGTTTCCATGACAAGTAAGGCACCATTATTTCCCTCTAGAAATGTATAGTATATCAGAGAAATTAGACAAGTACACCCATGCATATAATGGAAGCTACATAAGAACCATAAGATTGATTTGGTTTGCCAGAGGATGGATTATATCCAGTTGAGCTATCAGGCAAATCTTCAGAGGAGGAGGTGTTCGAAGTGAGCTTAGAAAGATGGTTAGGATTTAACCAGGTTAAGTAAAAGGCATGGGTGAGGTGAGAAGGAAATAGCATGAACAAAGACGTGCAATATTTGGGAAACTAAGCAATCCAATTTGACCCTGCCTCAGCTTGGCTCCCAGCCCCACACAGCCCTGGCAGGCGTTAGGAGGGTGCTAAATTTGCAGGTTTCAAAGGTTACCTGACCTTGACTTGCATCTGAGGGTTGAGAAACAATTCTCAAGATGTGTTCTGTGGGTGCCAACAGACAATACTGACCACTTGCACAGTGAGTCCAAAGTCACTTCTTCCCAGGAGTGCTGGTCAGTCACTATGAAGACCTACATGTCTGGAGGCATAAACAAGCGTTGTTCAGAAGAGGGATCAGAAGTTTCTCTTGTCTTCTGAAAATGTATTTAACTACAGAATTTAGGCTAGATTTTTTTAAACCATAAAAATGGGAATAACAGTTATATATGCTTTGACTCTTTATAACAGATAACAGAAAGCCAGGCACACACACTGGAAGATGAAGTAGCAGAGGTTTTACAAAAATTAATCTCCAAGGAAGCCAACAGTTATGAGATACCCAATAAACCCACAAGCAAGACTGAGAGTCAGTCTGGAAAAATACCAGAGAAAGTGGTATGTATATGTGAATGTACGTGAGCATGCTATGTACGTTAAGTGTGCATGTGTATGGACATGAGTGTGTGTGTATATATACTTGTATTTATATATAATTAATACAATCTGAATATAATTAGAACCTCATTGGAAGATTTGGGGTATGCAACATTTTCATCCCACTTAAATATTCATGAAATAGCAGTAAGTTAAAAGATATAAATGACCTCTACTTTGAAAATAATTTAGAAATACCTGTGACATTATATTAAATAGTAAAGATTATATTGTATATCCCACAGTATAATAACACATAATATGTAAAATGGTTATTTCACATAACAACTATTTGTATAATCCCAGTGTACTGAAATTAAATATTTCACAGCTCTCTTGGTATCCAACTTCTGTTCACTGTGGATACCATAATATGCCCCCAAAATTAAAAACACAATAAAATAAACAGGTTGATTTGATCTTCTGCCAAACCAGCTTTCATATTCCCCATAGCGAGTTGCCTGAGCTACCTCTGCTCTACCCTGCTCCTTCCCCTTTTCATTGGGTCACAGGTCTGTCTGTTATCCTTTACTGAGACCAGTCATTATTTCTTCCTTTTCCTTGATAGACTCCATGCCTCTTCATCTCCTCTTTTTTTTAATCCTCACCTGAGGACATTTTTCCATTTTTTGTTCAGATAGAGTGGGAGGGAGGGAGAGAGAGAGAGAAACTTCTACGTGAAAGGGACACATCAAGTGGTTGCCACCCGCACGACCAACCAGGGCCAGGGACAAACTGCAACCAAGGTACATGCCCTTAGCAGGAACCAAACCCGGGTCTCTCTGGACCGCAGGCCGACGCTCTAAACGCTGAGCCAAACTGGCCAGGGTTTCATCTCCTCTTTAATCTCAGCCAAGCTGCTGACATTTTTGTCTCCTCCTTGAATTCTCTTTAAAACTCTAGATGGAGCTAACGATAGGAAGATATCAAACTCTGACTTTCTCCACCAGAGCACCTAGACCCCATGGCCTCTCATCCCCTTCAACATCCTATTCCAAATACCAGAGAAAAGATTATATAGGTTTAAAATGATTATAAAAAAGATTATATACTCCTGTTTAAGAGGAGGCTAAAACACATAAATTGGATCTGGATTTTTGTTACTAGATGGTCTAAAAGCTCTCGTTTGTTCTTCCTACTTCCAATCCCCATTAGCTGCCATCTTTCTAAGCAGTTTTTGAAGATCTATCCAATGTAAAAAACTTTTTTAGCTTTATCAAAGAACTCATGACTTTCACTCAAGCTTACCAGACTTAACTGAAACTGACATAACTATTTTCATTCCAGTTATATACTCCTTATTTTCTATCTTTAAAATGTCCTTATTCTTAATCTGTTTACTCATGGTATCTAAATACATCAATGCAAATAAAATATTTTTAAATAAATGTTTATTGAGGTACCAACTATGTACCAAGCACTGGGAATATCATGCTTATTTTAAAAGATACAATCCCTGCTCTCAAGAAGCTTAAGATCTAATGGAAGAGGTAGATAGTTTTTAAATAGTCATGTATTTTAATTACAACTTAATTGCATCAAGTACTCTGAGGAAAAAAAGAAACACGGCTCTAGGAACCTTAAAAAGGGTTATCCTGGGCTCAGGCTCAAGGAATCTTCCCTGAGGAAGGAACCTGAGCTGAAAACTGAAGGCTGAAGAGGAATGAACTTGTGACCATCCATGGGAGGCAGCATGTAAAGAAGAATGTGTGGAGTATCCAAGGAACTCAAATGAGCACAGTGTGGCTGGAATATAGAGGGAGAGCAATGAGAGATGAAACTGGGGAGGTGGACCCAGGTCAGACCAGGCAGTGCCTTATGAGGCACCTACTGTATAGATTCCAATCTTTATCATAATGATAGAAAAACACTGAAGGATTATAAGCAAAGGGGTCACATTGTCTGGTTTTTAAAAAATAACTCTGGGTACAAATGTGGAAAATATAATGTTGGGAATAGATTGGAGGTGGGCAGTATACCAGTTAGAAGGTAAGATATCAAGACAGCTTGGATAGGAGTCGGGTAGGGAGAAGGGGAGAAATGTATAAATTTGGGACAAATTGTGAAAGTAGGGCCAAAAGGGATGGATAGAATGGAAGAAAAGGAAGAGGAAGAAGAAAAACAGCGTATAAATTTCTGTCTAGTTCACTGAATAGAGAATGGATCATTAATATGATGAACACTGGACATGGATCAAGGAAAAAGAGTCTTATGCACCCTTCTAGACAGCCTTTACAATGCCACCCAGAAATCTCCAAGGTGTGACTGCCCCACTTACGTTAGGTATTCCAACAAGCTTTCCTATACCTTGTACCGTCTTTTTTGGTAGAGTCTGTGAACTCAACTCTCCTCTTCTTGGTGAAAGGCAATCTTACCAGGAGATAGAACTGGTGGAGGGGAACTTGGCCAGAGCAGAAACCTAGAAATTCCCTAATTCTCCCCTAAGCAGGATCCAGGGTCTTCAGTCTCTATGTCCCAATGACTTTCCCATGTGACTAGATGTTCACCCTCATGCCTAGAAAAAGGTTTGATCCTGCAGGGCAGGCAAAGGAGGGGGTATTCCTGTACTGCACAGTCAAGGGCACACAGAGGAAAGAATCCGGCTGGAGTGTCATTAGTTCTAACAAAATGTTTATTTTTCATTGATTTTTTAAAATTCCCTCTGGAGACTCCAATGGCAGCAATTCAAGATGGTTTTGCTAATGGAGAAAATGATGAAACAGTATCTAACACCTTAACCTTGACAAATGGCTTAGAAAGGCGAACTAAAACCTACAGTGAAGACAACTTTGAGGAACTCCAATATTTTCCAAACTTCTATGCACTCCTGAAAAGCATTGATTCAGGTAAAAACTATTTTCTAACCATGTGGAACAGAAACAGTAATTCCAGGAAATGTGTGGGTGGTTTTCTCTTCCTGTTTTCAGTTTCCAAATGCAATCCTCGATGACATTTATTGTGGCCTTGGGGGAAATAGTTCATGTCAATTTTTTCTAAAGGTGTGTACGAGTCATGGAAATATTTGGGAAAGGATAATCAGGAAAGGTGGAGTTTCTAGACAATTTAATCTTGTCAACAGAGGTTCATTTATTTGTTCAACAAACAGTTATTGAACATGTGCTGCGTTCATGGTGTTGGATGAACCTTGTGCAGGTGTGCAGATGAATCAGTGTCCCAGCCTGATGCAGTTCAGCCTCAACTCTTATTGCAAATATCTTTTTAAAGGCTTTATTCATTTTCCTCTCTTAGTGGGAACATAACTGATTTTTTTTTTAATGATTCAGAATTTTGCTTTTTAGACATTTTCAGCTTTAATCTTCAAAAATACTTACAGTGAAATAAACATTAGATTAAAGGATGTCAGGAGCCCAAAATACACTTGGGAAATGATTTGTTTTTTAAAAACAAAGTTCTTAATGTGTCTTGCTCTTTTCTCTTATATGTGTACCAAAATAACTTAACTGAAGATTTCAGTTCATGTTTATTTTTGGTTAATCTGTGAGGAGGAAATATTGAACAAATTTTCTGTTGTTGTTATTGTCTGGACAGATGCCCTGCCCTGTGTTAATGGCTCTTCTTCTTCCTATTCAAAGATTCAGTCCTGGATTGAACATTTGTAATAAGGGTTTCTGTATTTGTAACAATATTTCCCCCAAGAAGTGACTTTAGAGTAAGCTTTCATTACTGGAGAACATCCTTTGTCCTTCGGTTCCAGACACTGGCCAGATGGCACCAGCCCCTCTGCTGGCAACTGCAGGGCTGGTGATCCTGAGCGTCCATTCTGAGTCATTTTGCCCCATTGGTTGGCAGATGCCCAGCTCAGAACTGCTGTCATCCTGGTGATTTACTTCTTGCCAGTGAAGAGCATCAGTGTGATACCAAAGACTTGTATGGATATGACCTTGACCAAATAATAGGATGACTGAAGTCATTTACCAACCCTTTCTCAAAATCTCCCCCACACCTCTTCTCTTACCTTTCCTCGCTCCCGACATTGTGACTTTTATGGTATTTTAAAGATTTCACTGCATGGAATGTTTCTTATTTTATTTGTTTTTAATCTTCCAGTTTGTTTGTTTGGTTTTTTTACCCCATTCCATATTGCCTTTATTTTTGTAGACTTTTAATTTAAATATTTACACTGAGGTCTTTGATAGTACCCTTCTTTCTCACTCAAAATCTGAACCAATTGAGAAATAATAAAGTGATTAGAAAACCAAAATATCTCTGATGCTGATAAAGAGTGTATTGTGGGCCCTGGCTTGGCTTAGCAGTTAGAGCGTTGGCCCGCAGACCAGAGAGTCCTGGGTTCGGATGCTGCTAAGGGCACGTACCTCGGTTGCAGTTTGTCCCCACCCTAGTTGGGGTCGTGTGGGTGGCAACCACTCGATGTGTCTCTCTCACATCAATGTTTCTCTCTCTCTCTCTCTCTTCCTCCCTCTCTCCCTCCCACTCTATCTGAACACAAATGCAAAAATGTCCTGGGTTGAGGATAGAAAAAGAAAAAATAAATAAGTAAAAAGTTAAAAAAAAAAAAGAGTGTATTGTGGAATGAGGCTTAGGACGAGAGCCCACGGTGGGCCTGCACTCCCGCTCCTCAGTCTAGCTCTTGAAACAGCCAGTCTCAGGGATGGCCTGAGTGTGCGGATCAGGTGCTTTCCTCAGGTCTCTGCTTTCCACTGTTCCAGGGGAGCAGAAGGAAAAAAGATTTCCAATCCCCATTGGTAGAGAAATGTACACTGATGTCTACTGGCTACTAGTCACATGTATGGGAAGGCTGAAAAGATTGGGGGAAAGGCTAGGAATATGTAAAAGAAATTCTTCATAGCAGCTAAAAGAATAGGGAAATGAGCTCTCTTCTAGCATCTTAGTTTTTCTCTTTTTCAGAAATAGAAATAGATTTTTTTCATGATTTTATTTTATTTATTTATTCATTCATTCATTCATTCATTCATTCATTCATTCATTCATTTTATCTTTACCTGAGGACATTTTTGCATTTGTTGGGAGGGAGAAAAGGAGGAAGAGAGAGAGAGAGAGAGAGAGAGAGAGAGAGAGAGAGAGAGAGAGAGAGAGAGAAACATCGATGTGAGAGAGACACATTGACTGGTTGCCACCCACACAACCCCAACCAGGGCTGGGGACAAACTGCAACTGAGATACGTGCCCTTAGTGGGAACTGAACTCAGGACTGTCTGGTCCATGGACCATTGTTCTAACCACTGAACCAAATCAGCCAGGGCTCTGATTTTAGAATTAGCACATCTACTGAACTTTTATGGAATTATTGGTCATCTTGTTGCATCAAGATGCAGAACAATATGCCAAATATGAAAAGTTCCCAAGAAATGCTTACTAGTAGTTACCTATAGGGAAGGAGAAGTTGGGAGGAGGAAGAGAATGTTTCTTTGACTATTATGTACTTTTGTACTATTGGAATATTTTTACTGTATATATATATGTATATGTATATGTTTATGTATATGTACATGTGTGTGTGTATATATATATTCTTTCAAATGAAAGAAAGTATAGAAAGTAATATATACTTACTGGTAAAAAATAAACCTTACATTTAAATAATAAACATACATGTATGTTCTTATTTAAAATATTAAACTTTTCCTGGACAGTTTGGCTCAGTAGTTAGAGCATCGGCCCTCAGACCAAAGAGTCTCAGGTTCAATTTCCAGTCAAGGACATGTACCTTGGTTATGGGTTCAATCCCCGACCCCGATTGGGGTTGTGCAGGAGGCAACCAATTGATGTTTCTCTCTCTTTCTCTGTCCCTCCCACCCTCCTCTACCTAAAAAAAAAAAAAAAAAAAAATCAATGAAAAAATATCCTCAAGTGAAGATATATATATATTTTTTTGATTAATGAAAATGGGTTGTTTTTGCCATCAAAAATGTACAGCCTGAGTAGAGAAGAGTTGTTTGATTACCAATCTTCTAACTATCCTTTAGAGTTCATGTTGTCTTGGGTCATAAACTGTCTCTATCATCTACTTCATTAATTAAATATCTTAGATTAAAGTAAATCTTTTTGGAGAAGTTATAATGGTCCATTGCTGAGAAAATTTAGTATACCTGTATGTTGTCCTGTATTCCCAATCAAGTCTTAGGCTTTCTGTAAATTAAATATAAATGGTTTTAGGTATAAATGTATGGAGAAATATTTCAATAAGATATTGTACTTTATAAATTGACATTGAAAGGTGAAGCTATATGCCACTAATTTTTTAAAATTATTTTGTCCTTTTATATAGAAAAAGAGCCAAAAGAGAAAGAAACACTGATTACTATCATGAAAACGTTGATTGACTTTGTGAAGATGATGGTAAAGTATGGCACCATATCTCCAGAAGAAGGAGTTTCCTATCTTGGTGAGAGTCCTATCTGTTTTGTTTTTACTATGGTTAGTTTTCATCATCCAAAGTGAGTTAAGGATTTGGCAATAACTTCTTCACTAATCTCATCATTTACGCCAAAATAGCCTGAATTATCTGGGTAACCAAAATTTTCCAGCTTGATAATGCATACAAATAAAATTAACCAGAAGTTTTAATAAACTTCTCATCTTTATAGACACCGTTTGAGCACACATCTTTCACATTTGTTATGTTTTATCTTGCCAACACAGAGACAATTTTATTAAAATTGAGCTTATTATTATTTTTTCAATTGTATTTGAATAGCTAGGATGAAGAGTCTTGACTTTAAACAGTGAGGTCTGTGTGTGAATAGGAGGAAAGAGCACTGGGCTGGGCATCGGTTCTGTCTCAGACCAGCTCTGTCATGTGGATGAAGACAAACGCCTCAGTTTTTGCATCTCAAATAAAGGACTTTATTATCTATAACAGGGGACAGTAAACTACTGTCCATGGGTCAAATCTGGTCCATCACCTACTTTTGTATAGCACACAAGCTAAGAATGGCCTCTATATTTTCAAATGGTTGAAAAAAAAATCAAAAGAATAGTATTTTGTCACATGAGAAAACTATGTAAAATTCAGATTTCATTGTTTGTAAATGAAGTTTTATTGGAACATATTTATTCACGTTTGTTTTAGTATCCGTGGCTGCTTTTGTGACATGGGGCGAGAGTTGAGCAGCTAAGACCATATGGCCTGGAAAGCCAAAAATATTTACTATCTGGCCCTTACAGAAAAAGTTTATCAAACTTTGATTCCTGGAACTTTATAAATAAGCTTGGACATTTTTTGATTCTGCATACAAGTTGTTGCTGTTGTTCTTTTAAAGTCTTTTATTTTCCTGCTTAGTTTAGTTAATCAACAAATACCATTCATCCCTGATGTCCTTTGGGCAAGATGACTTCACAGCCTTTTACTCTGATCTCTGATGAGGGAGGGAGAATTAAACAGAAGAGAAAATCTCAAAGGACCGAGCAATCTAGAATTATTCTGTATGAACTTCATTTTTTTCTACATAAAAAGAGTTTTACTGTTGTTGTTGTTTTTCTGATTATAAAAGAGTACATTTATTTTTTTAAAAATCAGTCAATGCAAAAAATGAAGTAAAAAAAATCACTCATAACACTAGCATTCATATAATATTTTGGTTTATGTCTTTCCAGATATTTTCTGTGTGTGTGTGAAAGCACACATCTATACCTGTGTCGTTTCTTTCTTTTACCTTCCTTAACAAAAAACAGATTCCTGTTCCACAGTGCTTTGTGGCCTACTTACTCACTTAGCAGTAGATCAAAGACGTTGTTTCAAATCGGTCATTGTTTCATACCACTACCCCATGACTCAGAACTTCCATACTTTAGTCATTTATCCTATGGAAATAAATTAGATATGCCACAAGGTTTATGTGCAAGGTAGATATTTTCACTGCTGTTTATGGCTGTGCTGTCCAATATGGTAGCTATTAATCACATGTTGCTATTGAAATGGAAAGAAATCAAAACTTAAAATCTAGTTTTTCATTTACACTGGGCACTTTTTTTTTTTTTTAAGAGAGAGAGTGGAATGGAGAGAGGAAAGGAGAGAGAGAGAGAGACAGAGAGACAGAGAGACAGAGAGACAGAGAGACAGAGAGAGAAACATCAATGTGAAAGAGACACATTGACTGGTTGCCTCCTGTAGGGCCAGGGATCAAATCTGCAACCTAGGTACATGCCCTTGAGTGGGAATCAAACCTGCAATCCTTTCATCTGAGGGCTGACACTCTAACCACTCAGCCACACTGGCCAGGCCTACACTAGGCACATTTGAGGCACTCAATTACCACATGTGCCTGGTGGCTACCATATTGAACAATACAAAAATTAATATTTCCATCATTGCAGAAAGTTCTATTGGGCAGCACCAGTTTAGAGGAACAAGACAATAGAAATGACTCAGATACTCCATAGGAGGAGAATATCCAAAATAAATTATTTCATTATTCTTATGTTAGACTACTTAAACTTTACTTATAAATGTTTGTGTTTTCAATAATTGGATGTTCATTACATATACAATATAAATTGGTTATAAAGGTTAATGACAGGCCATGGCTGGTTTGGCTCAGCAGTTGAAGCGTCAGCCTGTAAACCAGAGAGACCCAGGTTCGGTTTCCGCTAGGCCCTAGCGGCTAGGGGCACGTACCAAAAAAAAAAAAAGATTAATGACAGGAGGAAATGTTCACGATATACTGTTGAATGCTTAAAGCCATTTAGAATGTGACCTCAACTTTGGTGTTAAAAGATGAATATATGTATAGAAAGTTGGAAGGAAATATACCAAAATGTTATCTGGAATAAAACAGAATGTATCGTACAATAGAATATACTGGTTTCCTTCTCAAAAAAGAGTCATGGGGTAGGATGGAAGGAGGAGTTTACTTGGGGAGAAATAATGCAAAGTAATAATGGATTCTTTACAGATTAATTGCAAAGAAATGCTTGTTTGCAAATAGAAAGGAAAAAAAGCCTGCCCTATTAATGGGATGTATGTGGCTGGTTGAATAACTGAATACAAAAAGTGTGGATTTTAATGCATTGTCTACCTTCAGGTGGTTACTGTCTAAATTCATGTCTAGTGACACCTATATGATATTACGGCAAAGGGCAAAGTTAGAACAAAGACAAGGACATAGTTTTCACCTTGACAGCAACAGGGAAATTCTTACCCTTAAGACTATCTAACAACAGAACTGGCTGCTTCATGAATAATGAGGACCCTAAATGATAGAAATCCAACTCTTTGGCTTAAACAAAAAGAAAATTTAATTGCCTCATGTAACTGTAAAGTCCAGGCTTAAGAGGTGGTCTGGCTTCAAGTTTGTAAAGTCCAACAGTGTGAGGAGTCTCTCACTCCCCATCTCGCAGCTCTGACTTTCCATATGTTGATTCATTCCAAACAAGCTGTTCCCTGGCTTATAGGTACAAGCACAGCTCCAATCTCACATCCTCACAGTACAACAATCCCGATGAGAAGAGAGCCTCTTTCTCCCAGCGATTCTAGCACTGAATCTCACTGAGTCTCATGACCCAGCTTGAGTCATGTTCTTCTCCTTGAACCAATCGCTGTAGCCAGTAGGTGGGAAGACCTTGACCATCCTGGCCTGGTTAATTCAACCCTGACTTGAGCCAAATGTGCTGAGAGTGAGAAGGGTCTGAGGTCTCCAAAGGAAAATTAAGGTGTAGTTACAGAAGGTGTTGAGTAGGTTTCAATCCTGGGCATGTTCTAGCATAGCAGTGGCCACAAAAATATGGAAGAAACTTCTGCAATGAACTGAGTAGAAGGCTGAAGTTGAGAATCTCAGATAGTATTCTTTTTTTATCCTGAGAGTCTATGAGTCCTAGAAATAAAATCCATGTCAAAGCATCTTACTAGCAGTGTTAATATTGTGAAATTGCTATTGTGACATTTCTGGTAAGACTTAAACATTTCTGGTAGAAGTTTGATAGTTTTCCCCCTCCTTCCTCCAGAAAACTTGGATGAAACAATTGCTCTTCAGACCAAGAACAAGTTGGAAAAAAATGTTACTGACAATAAAAGCAAGCTTTTCCCAGGTATGATTTATTTAACTATTTTTCTACCTTTTACCACACCAATAACTTTTGAGTAATAAATAATGAACTTCAATAAACATTGATAAAGAATTATAGATTTTAAAAGTTTTAAAATCTCAACTCCAACTATAGGATTGTGTCTACAATGTTGGTTATTTTGTGGCCAGCTTCAGCACAGAAATCTGACCCCAAGAAGCACTGGAAATCGATGTACCCCTTTACTGAAGATCTTAGGAAGTAGGCATAGCCCCAAACAGCTGAGCTGCCATAGTCCCAGATTCTTAAGTGTTACTCTGAGTAATAAACTTGTTCGAAAATACAACATAAAGGAGAGAGTGTGCAACCACAGACTTACTTTTATTTGGAATCAAGATTCAAATTTACTTTGAGACCTGACATATCCCACTTGATTGCCTACATGAATTAATCTACGCTCTAATGACACAGTATGGCAGAAGAAAAAGAACACTAAACCAAAATCCAGAAAACTGGTAGGTTGGCCTACCTCTTTTGCTAACTCTCCCCTCTCTGGGTCTCACTTTCCTCTTCTATGAAATGGGAGGAGGGAATTAGAGTAGAGAATCACTAAGATCTCTTTCAGTTAAAAAAAAAAAAAAAAGACCTGAGCTCAAACTTAGTACCTTTTCAATGAAGTTTATTTCTACATTAGGAACTAATTAATAGATAGGGGATAGGGTTATAACAATAGAGCACAATCTGATTACAGCACCATCAGTGAAGAGTCATGAAGAAACAGATAGTACTAAGGAAGAAGCTGCTAAGATGGAAAAGGAATATGGAACCTTGAAGGATTCCACAAAAGATGATAACCCAAGAGGAAAAACAGATGCGCCAACAGGTACGGAATTGACAGCTCTAGGTTGGCAATGAAATTGGGGAAGCAAAGCTTTCACCACACCTGGAAGGGTGATCCACAAGTCAAGTCCCACCAAATCAGAAAAATTAACACCATCTGTATAGAAAACATTGAGCAATGTTTTCTTTTAATGTTCTTGAGTCTCCTGGGATGGCAAATTGGTTTTATCTTTGCGATGGTCTTTAATGTCTAATGGACTTTTGTGCTCGGGGAGGAATACTCATGACCATTTGTGCGTTAAACAACCATGTTCAATTTATAATCTTAGGAATTTATTAAGCAATATTTCTTTAAATGTAATTGTTGGCATTCCTCTCATAGTCACATACTACTTATTCAACAGTCATCAAAATTTATGGATTTGACAAAGCAAATTTTCTTAATTGTTCACAGTGATTGCAACCTGACACACACTTTTAAAGACTTGATTAAAAATAATAAATCAGCCCTGGCTGATTTTGCTCAGTGGTTAGAGCTTCAGCCTTCGGGCCAAAGGGATGCAGGTTTTATTCCCAGTCAAAGGCATGTACCTGGGTTGCAAGTTTGATCCCCAAGCCCGGTCAGTGCATAGGGGAGGCAGCCAATTGATGTGTCTCTTTCACATCAATGTCTCTCTCTCTCTCTCCCTCCCTTCTTAAAACTCTATCTAAAAAAAAAAAAATCAGCCCTGGCCGGTTTGGCTCAGCGGTTAGAGCGTCGGCCTGCGGTCCTGAGAGACCCGGGTTCGGTTCCCGCTAAGGGCACGTACCTCGGTTGCAGTTTGTCCCCAGCCCTGGTCGGTTGTGCAGGTGGCAGCCACTCGATGTGTTCCTTTCACGTCGATGTTTCTCTCTCTCTCTCTGTTCCTCTCTCTCCCTCCCACTCTACCTGAACAAAAAAAGGAAAAATGTCCTTGGGTGAGGATAAAAAAAATAAAATAAATAATAAAAAAAAAAAAAATCAGTGAAACTATCTTTGAGTGAGGATTAACAAATAATAGTAATAATAATAATATATCAAATTTTCTTAAATAAGCAAAATACCTTAAAAAGCAAAAGCCACATTAAACTAGTTCAATAATTACATAATTTATGGTTTTATCTTTATTCTTACATATTCCTAGGGTTATATTTTTACTCTGCCTTAGCAATTCTATGTGATATAAAATTTACATCTTCCTAAGATTTTAGAAACTTTATTATACCATGAAGAAAAAGACCCTGTGAGGCTGCAAGTTCTAAGTCATTAACCCTTTGATTTCATGTCAGGATACAGGATCTGGTTGCATAGTCCAGCAGTTCAAGCCCCTTTATTACAAAGTATGCCAGTTAGAGCATGGAGTATTTACAGCCCTGTTTCTCAGGTAGATATTCTTTTTCGGAAATTCAGTGCTTTTTACCAGAAATATTGAACAGGTGGCATAAGCCTACTTTATTTTTCTGTCACTCTGATATGTTGACCTCTTTGGCATAATTAGAACTTTACTTACGTCTTATCAGTGGCTCATTCGTAGGGTCATCTAGAGGTTATTTCCCCTGAGAGCTGAGGGAGTGGGTCATGGCTCTCCCTGGGAGTGGGCATGACATTCAGCTAATTTATCATCTGAAAACACACCATTCTCTTCATTGTTTATTATGTCTAATCATTAACGGCAATGAACTGATGGACTTTGTTTATTCCCTGTATAGTATGATTACGTCACAGCTCTTAATTTTGAAGTGACTGCTTGGCCCACTTACAGTTCCCAATTACCCCTGCATATATGAATAGAAACCATTCTATTCATACTTGATAGGACCATTCATTTTTGTTGTTGTTGTTACTCCTCACCGCTGAAGGATATTTTTTCCATTGATTTTTAGAGAGAGTAGAAGAGAGGGAAGAAGAGAGAGAGAAACATCAATGTGAGAAAGACACATCGGTTGGTTGCCTCACACAGGAGCCCCAACAGGGACCAGAGATAGAACCTGCAACCCAGATACATGCCCTTGACTGGGAATCAAACCCACAGCACTTTGGCGTGCAGGCTGATGTTCTAACCACTGAGAAGCCAGTCAGAGCGATAGACCCATTCTTAACAGTGTCTGTGTATTAAATAAATAAATAATTAATTAATTAGCTATGTAGTTACTACCTTGTAGCTTAATAAAAGCAAGAAAATTACAATTTTCCTTATATATTACAACTACCTTTAACACTTCATATTAACTTTTTCCATTTATGTATGTTGTTCTAGATGGTGATAATGATGACTTTATGCTTCCATGGGAATAGCTTGGGCCGTAGGAACCCCCTCCCCAACTTTGTCTTCTGTCCTTCTAGCACTGATCCAGTGGCTTTTAAAAGCATCTTTGCTCTCTGCAACAATAGGATATTCTAGACCCATTCTGAACTTTCCTGTGCCAAGACTTGAAATCAATTCACCTTCAAAGGATTCTTGGTTCCTTTTTGCAGAAAATATAGAGACCTGAACGTGGGTTATATGGGTTCAAATGAGTGGTGATGTTGGCCGAAGGTATTGCTTCCATTTGTTATTTTGGGACTTTTTGGAGACAGTGTTGAAAAAGAATTTTTTTCTTAATATATAAAATTCATGTTGATTTTTTCTATCTTATGAAGTTTTATATTATTGCACCCTCCTTTTCTCTGGTATGGATTTCAAAGATGTTCACAATTTTTTTCTATGTTCACATTGCTGACATATCAGCTCTGTAGTGGCCTGTGTTAAGAAAGGTGACAATGTTGCATCTGGGCTCAGGAGGAAAGAATATTGGAATGATTACTTATAACGTTTGTCATGGGAGGTAGAAGGGGGAATTGGTGAGGTATTTGCCATGTTTGCTGACTCTGGAGACCAGTCACACTATCTTGATACTTCTACTCAACCCTACACCCACTTTGGATCAGTGATAAACTTTTCTTTAATATCTTTGTGGTTTTTTTGGAAATTGTGGTAAAATACATACAACATAAAATTTACCATCTTACCCATTTTTAAATGTACAGTTCAGCCCTGGCCAGTTTGGCTCAGTGGTTAAAGCATTGGCCTGCGGATGAGAGAGACCCGGGTTTGGTTCCCGCTAAGGGCACGTACCTCGGTTGCCGTTTGTCCCCCACCACAGTCGTGTGTCTCTGTCACGTCATGTTTCTCTCTCTCTCTCTCTTTCTCCCTCTCTCCCTCCCGCTCTGTCTAAAGATAAATGCAATAAATGTCCTCGGATGAGGATAAAAATGAAAAAATAAAATCAATAAAACAAAATTTTTTTAAAAAATGTACAGTTCAGTGGCTTAAAGTACACTCATGCCATGGTGCTGCCATCAGCACCACCCATTTTCAGAACTCTTTTAAAGCAAAACTGAAGCTCTACTTATTTCCTCCTCCTTCCCCAGCCCCTGGCAGCCACCATTCTACCTTTTAGCTCTGAATTTGATTAATTTAGGTACCTCATGTAAGTGGAATCATACAGTATTTGTCCTTTTGTGATTGACTTACTTCACTTAGCATAATGTTCTCAAGGTTCATCTCTATTGCAATATGTTAGAATTCCCTTCCTGTTTAAGGCTGAATGATATTCCATTGTATGTATATACATTTGGTTTATCCACCCATTTGTCTGTGGACACTTGGGTTGCTTCTACCCTTTGGATATTGTGAATAATGCTGCTCTGAATGTGGGTGTACAAATAGTTCCTTGAGATCCTACACTCAGTTTTGGGGCGGGAAATTCCAGAAGTGAAATTACTAAATCATATGGTAATTCTATTTTTAATTTGTTGAGGAATTTCATACTGTTTCCATAGCAACTGCACCCTTTTACATTTCCATCACACTGCAAGTGTTCTGATTTCTCTACATCTTCACCAAAACTTGTTTTCTCTTTTTTATATTTTATGGTAGCCATCCTAATGGATATGATGTGGAGGATGAGTGGTAAAGTTCTGAAAGATAGCTAACCTGGGAAAGAGTGGTCCTCTGGCCCGAAACAGAGAGCCAGGGATCGAGCAGCTCAAAACTCTGCCGCTCACTCCAGCAGAACCCGGTCTGCCTGAACCATCTCCTCTGCCAGTAACGCATGTGGAATGAAGGTGTTTCCCTAGAACACGGCAAACAATTGGCTGGGTCCTTTGACTTGCTAAGGCAGCATGCCCTAGCCAGTGCCTAAGACACCACCTTATATCGCTGTGCAAATATTTCTAGGAATAGGTGCTGACAGGTCTCTTGGCTTATTTTAGGAAAATATTATGCTAAAAAAGAATGTGAAGGAACTGATTCTTGGTAGTCCACTATTGCCTATTTAGGACATGAGTGAGTGGAGACTAATGAGGAGGTTAGATTTCTTTCTCACTGAGATTTCCATCAGATAATAATGAGGAGAGAGGAGCGTAAAACTCCACCCGTTTATCTAGGGGGTAAAAAGGAGAAACATCTATAACAAGAATAAATTAATAATAAAAAAAAAAACTCCACCCATTTAGTGTTACTCTTTGTAATGGCTCTTCTGAAACATTAGAAAGAGGTAGGGATTTGAGACTCAAATTAGTCCCCCATCCCCCACCCCATTATTTAGAGTTTAATTTATTCATTCTATTCCTGACCCCTATTACTCTGGGATAAGGAAAAGTGATTCTAGTACACTTTAGAAAATACCAAACTGAGCTCTAAGTCAAGGGCGCACATTTCTTGAAAGAGCAAATTGTAATTAATCCCCCAAAGGACATATTATAATATATAACTTTACATTCACTGTTGCTTTATTTGCACTTTTTTCTAAAGCTACTTTGCTTCTCTGTTATAAAACCCACTGAGGAAAACACTTGTCTTTACGCAGAAAAATAAAAGCATCCATATGGGTGAAGGTAGGGTTGACTGGGTTTTCTGAGACAGTTACTCAGCACTAAATAAACACTTACTCTGCTGGCCTGCCTGGCACTGTGTTCAGGAAGTAGAGCTACAGAAAGAATATAAGAACCACCGCTTGGCTCTGAGGACTCAAGCAAGCTTT